TCCTGCTTTAAGGTCGGGGCTCGGTTCGGCAATCCCACCTGGCCTGGCTCGGGTCCCTGCTTGGAGGCCGATCAGTGGGACTGGCTCCGGTGGGGCCCTGGAGGGCTGAGGGTGGGACAGCCACCAGGTAGGGCCAGCTCAGGCATGTGGAGGGAGGGGGTGCAGGTAGAGCCTGGGGCAGTGGCAGTGGGCAGGGCACAGGTGCCCTGGGTCCCACCGGCCAGCAGAAGGCGGTGGCGTGGCGAAGGCAGGCACACCAGGGGTCCCCCTCTGCTGGCTGGCCAGAGGCACAGGGGCCTACGATTGCAAAACGAAGTGCCCCCACTGGCGGCAACAGGCTGGGCCGGCTCCAGGCTGCTCCCCATGGTGCCTTCGGCTCCCCTTGGGCAAGCAGGTCACCCTCCCGGAAAGGTGGGCAGCGGCCCACAATTTACTACTGTGTTTAGGCGAGGGAGGGGAGGGGCGGCAGGTTGGGGGGCGCTTCCTCTTAAGGGGCCACTCTAGGCTGCTGCCTAAAAATTGTCTATGACGGGCAAGCCCTGAGTGTACAAGCTCACCTACCTACAGGTAGCAGCACTGGAATAGGAAAAGCAGAAAGAAAAGCAAGTACTTAGGTTCACCTGCCAATTCTGTTATATTTCCTTGGACTGCTTGCAGTCAGTGGAGAGCCAGCCTGACTGTGACTGTCATGTAACCTTAGCAGTAGAAAAGAGCAAGAGTCCAGTAGCACCTTAAAAACTAACAAAATATGTGGCAGGGTATGAGCTTTTGTGACTCACTGCTCACTACTTCAGGTATTGGAAGAAGTAAGCAGTGACTCATGAAAGCTCATACCTTACCACATATTTTTTTAGTCTCTAAGGTGCTACCAGACTCTTGCTCTTTTCTACTGCTACAGACAGACTAACATGGCTACCCATCTTGATCTATCTCCTTAGTGTAACCTTGAAGACAAAGCCACATGGCACCTTCTCACAAGCTCCATGTAAAGATCTGGATAATAATGCTATGGGTGCAATGCAGGAGTTGCTTTGCTGGATGAGACTAGAATCCATGTACTTTCTAGTATTCTGTTTCCAACAGCAATCAGCCAGTATCTCTGGACGCTTACAGTCAGAGCCTAAGGGTGATGACTGTCCAGTGTCCACTTTCACTTGCACCAAGTATCTTGTTAACTGTGGCATATAATACAGAGGTTCTGTTCACAGGTAAATTGGGAGACAGTATAGTGTATATTCAGGCAGTCAATTATTTACCGGTGTGCCTTAACTGTTGCAGTGTTGGAATCAAATAAAACCAGGTTGTCGGAAGGCATCCAGCTGAGAATGGTCTCTGCAGACCAAGGCTTGGTGGGGGGGCAGTTAGATTTTTAAAACTGCCCCAACGAACATGGGCTGTGGATTAAACCATGCACTGAAAACTTTCACTTGATTTGCATCACATGGTAATTGCAAAAGTAATTACATACTGATGGGGAAGGAATGGATTGAAAGCAGTATATGAGATTTCCTCGGGTGCTGATATGTAGCCTGTATGAAGTGCATTTAGTGTGACAAAGCACTGTGATGTGAATACTGTATTTGGGACCAGGCTATATTGCAAATGAAATCTGGACTGTTTTTAATTCTTGCTTTTCCAATAGGAATGTCCCAGTGGAGCTGTTAATGAAGAGACATTCAAACAGATCTATGCACAGTTTTTTCCACATGGGGGTAAGTGGAGAACATTTAATTTGTGAAGCGTAGCTCAGACTTCAGAGGTCAAGATTCAAAATGAATTTTAGGTCATTTTTGTGCAGCGCACACATACTAAAAGGGAGGGGGCTTAGAATACCACAGGCAGTTATTGTTCTGTGGTATTCCTCTGAAAGCTTTCTCTGTGGAATGATGTGCAACTGTTCAAGGAGAGGGACCTCCCTATAGAATGGATGGAATTGTAGGGCTGACAGGCACCTCCAGTCCATTTCCAGCATTAATATATTATTCAATTCCAAATCAATTCTATACACATTTAGCTCAAGTGAATTTCAAAATTTTCCACATGATACAGTTAGCAGTTACATATATCGTCAATAATTCATTTCAGCAGACAATACCAGAATGATTGCAAGCACTGGAGATTTGACTGTGCTGTATGTATGCTTGAGCTGAGAGGAAAAGTTATTTTGACACATCTGGTCAGAATGGAAAGAGGATCCTCTGTTTTCATGACTGGGGGGAGTATCACTATGACAGGGCTATGAATGTGCTCATTGATTGATTGGGTTGCCCATCTAAGCACTGCCCTCACTCTAAATTATTTTCATCTGAGAGACCCACAGTACAATAGAGGGTGTAACTCTGCTTAGGATACCATTATTAACTTCAGGAAACGGCCAATTCTGCCGTGAGGTACAGAATTGTAATGTCATCATGTCCAGTGCATCATTTTTAGCTGACAGTGACCAGTTGAGGAAAACATTGTCATGAAAGCAGTGTGTGTGTGCAAGTGTGTGTGTGCTGTGATCAGTAACGCAGTCATGGAAAAACTAGGAGTAAGAGATTGAGTGGGAGAGGTGGACCAGTCCACTGAAATCAGAAAGTAAACCTGAAGAACTTTTGGTTCAGCCACATATGTGCTTATTTAAAATATGTTAACAATTTCTCCTTTCACTGACTTTTTGTTTTTCAGATGCTAGTATGTATGCTCATTATCTCTTTAATGCTTTTGACACAGCACAGAATGGATCTGTGAAGTTTGAGGTAAAAGATTCATACGTTTGCTCTGATCATTCCTCAGTCATCTTTCTGAGTATAATTTCAGATACTGAATTTTATGCACAATGGATCATTTTACTTTGAAGAATATTGTTATAAGACTGGCAGTGTACACTTAATTTAACTCACAAAAATTGACCCAATATAGGATAATGTTTTTCCTATTCATGATGAGCCCTCTGAACTCTGGAAATAAAGATAAACACACACACACACACATATTGTACATTGGAGTTTGAGGCGTCTGTGCTTCTTTCCTTTAGTTCACAGTTAGGATGGTCATAACTTCTGAGGGTAACTGATTTTTTAGCAATACCCAATGTGGCATAAATTGCACCGTAGGAAAATTGCACATTGTTATCACAACTGACCTTTATAACGATCCCCAAATCATTAACAAAATGAACAAAATTGACTGGTGTTAGCCAAATTGCTCTATTTCTTTAATAAAAGATTGGGGAATGATGATATTAATATGCAATTGGCATAACTATAGGATCAGACCCGGGTTTACCAGAGTTAGAATTCCCAAGAACCCAGGAATAGACAGAGACTGGGTGGCTAAAATAAGAATTTCTTTACTAAATATTCTCAAGCACACAAACAATAATTAAACATTCACGCACACAATACAGATTTAAGGAAGTAGAGGTGAATGATAACTAATGGAGGGATTGTGGGGTGATACTACCTGTCCAGATGTGCAGAGGTCCATGAAGAAAGGGTTGTGGCCAGTGTTCCCTCTAATCTGTGGGGTCCTGTGAGCAAAAATTCTACTTTGTGAGCTACTGGCATTAAAGCTGTGAGCAAGTGATTTGGCTGCTGCATAAATCAGTTTGCTCTGGAGCCATCCTTCCTGAGCTAAGACAACAATGTGTGAGCTGGAGACTAAAAACTGTGAGCTAGCTCACTCTGACTCAGCTTAGAGGGAACACTGGTTGTGGCCCAAAACCCAGAGAGTTTCAGGGGTCGACTGCCAGTTGGCATCATGGCAGAAAACACACACTCTGAGGCCATGTGTTCGCTGGGATATACCCATTGGAAGACAATGCAGACCAATGGATGGCCCTGAGGGCTGGTCTCAGGTGAGAACAATAGATTTCCTGGACCAATGATGAGTCCCAGGGGTGTGTGGCATCAGGATGGGCAAGGCTTACATGTGACCAATGAGCTTCCAGAGAGGCAGGGTCTGGATTTAACAATAGAAGCCAGGTGCTGGGTGGCTAATTGAATGGATTATCTGACCACTAATGGTCCTGGCCAAGGCAGTTGAATAGGTTCCCAGATACAAACAAAAGATGGGAGATGGATCCCTGATTAGCATCAGGAAGGATTGAATGCTTGATTGGTTTATCTTGGTATCCTGAGGGATGGAGCAAGGAAGAACAAAGACTTCACACGTAGACATGAGATGACACAAAACGACTGGGTGAGGTACTACAGAGTTATTTGCCAAGTGGCTTTTGAATAGACTTTAGAAATGTAGATACTTTGCCTGGTAGAACTCATTGTCATTCCATAAGCATAATCTCTGCTGGGTGGAGGGGGAAGACTGGAGGCTTGCTCTGAGATTGCCTGTCACCTGAAAATGGAGACCCCTTTTTCAGAGCTGTGGCTAGCTCTGGGTTTCAGAACCAGGAGTGCCTTCCTTGGCCTGAGTTTTGTGGGTCTCTGGGTCAGGTTAGAAAGTGGGGTGCCCTTGCTATTGAGGCTACCCAAGAGTAAAGGCAGTGCCTCTGGCAACACTGGGTCAAAATGTGATAACCTGCAGCCATCTTGCACAAAGCCAAGTGGCCTTGATTTTTTTTATAATACTACATAAACTACAAAGAAAAGAAGGGAAGGGGAACTACAACTAAGGAGAAAGAAAAGTAACCCACACTAAACTAAAAACCCAAGAGTAGGAGATCATTACCCTGTTAAACTGCAGTTAGTAATGGGAAAAAAACTGTTACTAAACAATATACTTTGTGAGATCCTGTCTTTCTAAGCTTATGTGTTAGTTTATTACTTATTATGAGAAGATTTCCAGAGCATGTCCTCCAGCTCTCTTTGTAAGGGCAATTTTCAGAGTCCTTCCACCTTTACATCTATGCTAATTCTCTCTAAAGTCTTGATGGCTTCTTAGACGTTCACTCGAAATTCTGCAACCCTCCTCCATCTCCAAAGGGATAACACCGCCAATCTTAAGCCTCTTCCTTCTTGGTCTCATCCTCGGGGCCCAGTGGCATCTCACAGGCTTCTTGATCTTGAGGTCAGGTTCAAGCTCTTTTCTATCAGCCGAA